GTCTATAGTAGTCTATTAATACACCTGTCCACAGTTGAGTCTATTAATACACCTGTCCACAGTTGAGTCTATTAATACACCTGTCCATAGTTGAGTCTATTAATACACCTGTCTATAGTTGAGTTTATAAATACACCTGTCCGTACCTGAGTCTATTACTACACCTGTATAGTCTATGATTATATCAGTTTAATGTTGGGACTTATTAATATACCTGTCTCTTGTGTAGACCCTTTTGAAGTTGGGACCCTCTCTGCAGACCAGGCTGTCCTCGCGCCACGGGGGCGCTATCATCACACGGTAACCTGAATTCCCAGCCTGGGATGCAATGCGGCGGCACTCCACAGATCTTCCCCGGGTCTAGTGTTGTCTGTTCAGGGGGAAAAAAAAGCTCTGCTCCCTGCGGTCATGTGATTATTTTTTTCCCTCCTTCMAAGTTGAAAGGCAGGAGCAGAGCAGTGGAGGGGCTTCAGCTCGCATTCCCAGCATTTTACCGTGGATACATCCTTTCTTTCCGCCACATTATTGTTTTTTTGCTCGGTGTGACATATTTTTACACCCGGTGTCTTCTTCACGATGGCGGGCGCTATCATTGAAAACATGAGCACCAAAAAGTTGGTGATAGTGGGAGTTATTCTGCTTTTGTTTCAGGCTTTCGCCTTTATGGTCGGCGGTTTAATCGGTAAGTTTTTCTTCTTCGTTTATTTTAAATCGGTAAGTTTTTCTTCTTCGTCTGACTTTTTTTTTCTTTTTAGCTTGTATTGGTCCGCGCGTGCCTGTTGAAATGCTAGCATAAAAATGTAAACAGCTGAATAAGAAGGAGGAAAGTCGAAGTTTTYAGTTTGTGTTAATTAAATACACCTCCCTCTGTCGGTCATAAACGTCTTCTCGGAAACCAGAGGCGACTGAAGCTAACTTTTCTCCGGTCCGCGACTGAGTAGCCTCCCTCCGGTAAATCAGTGCTTAGGTGCTGCCTCTTTRCCCTCTGGATCAACATGACTCCTTATCGGCTCGTTTCCTCGGTTTTACCCCTCAAACACACAATCCTTTGCTTTGTGTCTTTTTCGCACGCAGCTGAATGGGGAAGGCGGACGATAATGCTTTGTGTCTATTAGCAAAATATCTCAGGATATCTCAAAATTAGTCTTGCAGAAAGCTTTAGGTGTGCCTCCACATCTGAATAACTTTTGCCTCATGCAACATGGCCGCCACAGCCAACTCTAACCTTAACAAACACAAAACGACTAAAATTTTACACAAAATGAGCTAAAACCTGGTGTAGTAGCTGAGAATGATCCCCAACATAATTCGAGCACTTACAGCAGGGCTATTCAACTGGAGGTCAGCGGGCCACATCCGACCCGCAGGTGACTTCTTTCTGGCCTGCCAAAAAGCCTTATAAAATAGATTTTCAATCAATTAAATAAATTTACAAGGTAAAAGATACAAATACTTCTTCGTTTAGTTGGCTTTAAATAAAGGCCTCCTCGTTCCAGGGTTCTTGCAGATCCTTAAATAGTCTTAAAAGGCCTTGAATTCACCAATCCAAAAATAAGGCCTTATTT